CTGTGGACAGTCAGACACTGTGCATTCGCTTTTCCAGAGCTGCGCTGATATTTGGTTCCTATCACAAAATCAGCGGGCACATTATTCTATATTATGGATGTAAAAGGGGGTTTGGTCCTACTCACATCTATGTTCTCTTTCTCTCTCTACCTGTTTGTCTGTCAACCTCCCCCTCTCTTCCTTTCCATCATTCTCCCCCTCTATCTCCCTCCCTCTTCCAATCCTCTCTGTCTTCCTTTCCATCACTCTCTCTCTTCCTCTCCCTATCCTCCACCTCCCTCCATCTCTCTCTCAATTCTCCCCCCCTCTATCACCCTTCCTCACCCAATTCTTTCCCTCTCTCCCTCCCTCCCTCCCTCCCTCTCGTGCTGCTGCCTGCCCCTCTCTCCAGCTGCCAAGATGTCGATGACTGACATTCTGAAAGCGGAGGACATCAAGGCGGCTATGGACGCTTTCAAGGGTGAGAGGGGCCTCATCCCCGCGAGCTCCATCAGATTCCCGCCGAGTTCACCAGTTCCTGGATGAATTTAGTCAACGAAGCACAGATACGAGTGCCGTGCTCTAACTGCCTAGAAACCCACTTTTGCTTGCGCGAGATTATACAGCACAGCAGGGTGCACCTGGCGACGCTGGCCCTTGCCAAGGGTGTTAATTCCCACCCCTGTGTTCAGAGGAGTCACTGTGCGACACGCTGCAGTTTTTGATACAAACGATACCCCTCAGATAAAACCGAGCACGCGACTCTCGGCAGAACTCAAATGTAAGTCTTAGTTTGCATTAAATGATCGAGTGCATGTGGCTCTCAGAAACCGCTCAGAGCTGCTCTGTGACACAGCAGTGACTCCCCAGGGCTGCGTGTGTGCCGCACAAACACACACACACACACACACACACACACACAGGTGCGAGCCTCCCCTTTTTTAAACATGAGCCGGGAAAATGTCGAGAGCTTCAGCAGACTGTGCTGCAACCTCAGCAACAGAGTGACGCAGCGCCTATGAGTCTCCCTGTAGTTCAGCTGCACCCACAGAGGGGAACTGGGAGACCCATGCTCTAATACAGGATCACAGGTCCTCCCCTGTCTCTGTCCTCACTCCTCGCTCTCTCTCCCCCTGCAGCTGCCGAGTCCTTCGACCACAAGAAGTTCTTCAAGATGGTGGGTCTGAAGGCCAAGTCGGCCGAGGATGTGAAGAAGGCCTTCAAAGTGCTGGACGTAGATCAGAGTGGCTTCATTGAGGAGGATGAGCTCAAGTAAGGAAGGGGTGGTTGGGGGGGATGGGGCACGGCCTGCAAGGGGTAGGACAACAGGAAGTGGAAGAGCAGAGGTTCGCCGAGACGCGCTCGGACTTCCCCCCCCCAAGCGGAGATAAACAAAACAGCTGTACAAGTTCAACCGCAGCATGGAGAGATTTAGCCACGCCACCTAGTAAAGTCAGTAATATCCAGCTACGGGGAAAACTGCCTGGTGTATATCGGGTGAGGGAATAGGAAGACTCTGAAAGGCACCCAGTTAGAAGAGAGCAGGGGACAGTGGGGGGCCTCTGGTGGGTCCAGCGACCACAACAATGCTCCCCTGGGTGTCCCTCTGTCCCTCTGTGACTCGTCAGGCTCTGAAGGCTCTGGGTTACTGCAGCAGTGCGTCTATGCTAACATCTTCCTCCCCTGGGCTGTCCATGGTAACGTCTTCCTCCCCGT